AGACACTGAGAGACACTGTGAGACACTGTGAGACACTGAGACACACTGAGACACACTGAGACACACTGTGTGTCCTCAAAGCAGATGTCAAACCAATGTGACGTTTGTGTAAAACCTCAAAAATAAGAAAAAAGTGTTTTTGTCCAGAACGAGGTCAAAACAAACCACAGCAGAGAAACGTTGTTTCTTCAGACTGAAGCGTCTCCGATGTTTCACTGAGATTTGATCTGAATCTGTTTATTAAAAACTTTCTTCTCGTCTTTCTGTCACCTTTGATTTGTCTTTCTTTTTGGACTCAATGTCCTTCATTGGACAACGATCTACTGCCAGGGACTCATATGACGGAGCGGGGGACTACACCACTTTTTACTTTTTTATTTCTTTCACATTTATTTATTTGGGTTTTTCAAACTTCCATGAAAATTGCACTTAACTTAAAATGATGAAATGAAGAAGAATAAAGAACAAAGAAAATACATCGACAGATCAAACGGACCCAAAATACATTCGGAGAATTTGCTGAGTTGGTAAATTTGAAGTTTACGCACGGAGGCCGTGAAGTTTCTGTAACTTGTATGTACAAGATAAAGAAAACAGGTATTATCACACCCTTCTACATTCCAAGAAGATAACTCCTCATAATACAGCAGAAAACGTCTTCACCTCCTCCAATAACACGAGTGAACTGAAGCGAATGAAAAACAACAGGTGAATATTAATCAGATCGATTTAATCGCCTGCAGCAGAACACGGACATGTGCTGACTTCAGAGCAGAGCTGTTGCCACATCAGAGCTTTGATCGAACTCACAGCCTCGAGTTACAAAAAACAACCGATGAGGAAATCTCAGCTCGAGGAGACATTTCTCTCACGTATATTTAAATGTGTGACTGCGAGGCTGATGTCTTTCCTGTTGAGTAATTTCTTCATCGACGCTCGCAGAGAGAATTCGAGGCCAACTCTGTACCTTGAGCGAAATCAGGGAGGAAACCGACGCTCGGCCGTTCGAGGCCAGAGTTGTGAAACCGAGGGGAGCTGTGAGGAAACGCTGCTCATGCAAATGTTCCATAAATGCAGCTCAACGTTGCATAAGTGGAATGCAGCAACATCAAACACACACACACACACACACACACACAAACACTGTGCACGTCAACGTTTGACAATGTGAAGATTTTATTACTTTGACAAACTTCGTCCTCTGCTTTGGACGTCCACGAAAAAATGTGACACAAAAATATTTCAGTGTTTACAAAATCATTGCTATACTCTGCTTTATAATATCTTTATAACTTAGGGGCGTAAAAAAACAAAATACAAAATGGGTGACTCAACACAGTGAACTCATTTAAAAACGTAGTCCGAAGAAAATGGCGGCAGCTCTACTCCAGCTGCTCCACACTGGCGAGCGTCTCCTTTGCCGCCGACCTGCCGCTCTTCTCCTTGTTCTTGCTTTTGAAGGTGTTCCCCAGTTTGACCGACAGCGTGTGCAGGGCGGTGGTCTCCTCCCGGGAGCTGCTGCTGCGGCTGCGGCCGCTGCGGGAAAAGGTCGACGTGGTCCTGCTCTCGGAGTTGGTGTCGTCGAACAGTTTGCCCATGAAGCTCAGGCCGGCCTTGCGGATGTGGGAGCTGCCGGCGAAGACGTAGAGGACGGGGTTGACGGCGCTGCTGAAGTAGGCGAAGGCGGTGACGCTGGGTCGAGCTCTGAGTGCAGCCCCGGTCACTGAGTCGCTTTTCTGCAACAGGCCAATCACCTGAGGGGGGGGGGGGAGAAGTAAAGTATATACTTCTACACAGTACATTATTTCACCACATACATGTTTATGTCCGACTTTGTGGTACAAGGTCAGTTCACTCACTCATCCCCCTTTTTTCAACAAATGTAAAACTGATTTATACTTTAACCAAGTAAAACAATTTCCTACACGAGCACTTCGACCAGTTTGTGTATATACGAGTAAAGAATATTCAATTACTACGGAATTAAAAACAGAAATGTAATATTGATATTTCACAGTTTAACCGTAAACTTTACTCTGAACAAAAAGAAAAACACAGACAAGACAAATGCGACATATAGAACGTGACTCAAGTAATAAACATTTAATTAAATTCTTTTTTTTAAACTGTATAAAAACCTCTCTGCATTGTTTGTTCGATAAAATAAAAGTTCTAATGCTGGCAACGCTGATATTGGATATTTCTCTGAAAGGCTCGTATTTTATCTGCCGACAGAAAAATAAGTCTGGTTTGGATTTGATCTCTTATCTTACAACACTTTGGCTCCGAATGGTTTTTTTTCCACGGATGAAATGAAATCACCTGTACGATGTTGACGATGTGATACGGCAGCCAGAACACGGCGAAGGCACAAACGATCATCAGGATGAGGCGGCTGCCTTGTCCTCTGCGGTTGAACATGGCGCTGCGCAGGCGGCAGATGACGGTGGCGTAGCAGGTGTTGATGAGGGAGAAGGGCACCAGGCAGGCCATGAAGGTCTCAAACAGGTACTGGAAGACCTGGTGGCCCACGCTTTTCCAATGGTACGGAATGCAATAGCTGGCAGTGATGTTGTTCTGTAGTTTGAGCTTCAGATTACTGTCGGGGGGGGAAACGTGAAGCTTTTTATGAATTCATATTTATCAATTTCAAAAAATGCACCATGTCTTTGAATGTCATGAGGAAAAATTAAATCCAAATAATAAAAAGACAAAATGGAACCATTCACCAAAAAGGATAGAGCGTCCCATGAAGGGAAAAAGAGCAAATCGAATAAATGTAAAACTTTAAAATTAGCTGGATCTCGTGACAAACGTGTCACAGACGTAACGGAAAGAAAATGATGTCACAATAAATCTGATTTTATATTTTTATTTACTCAAAACAGCTGAAAACCATCTGCAGGATTTAAAAGAAGGAAAATGTCTTTTTTAGTGAGGTGAGGCCACGTCAGCCTCATTTTTTGGGAACGATAGCCAACTCTTTCTTTTGCTTTGCAACAACCATTAAAAACTCAACACAGCAAACTAGACGGGAAGTCTCACCTGCGATAAAAAGGCATCGGCAGCGACAGGATGAACGCCGTCACCCAGACCCCCAACAGGAGGACCAGCAGCGAGCGCTTGGTCCTCATTCGCTGGGACAGAAAAGGCTGAGTGACAGCCAGCCAGCGGTCCATGCTCATCAGGCAGATGAGGTAAATGGACACGTACATGTTGACACTCGACAGGTAGTGCACCAGCTTACATGCCACTGAGCCAAACTCCCAGCCTCGGCCTCCAGCCAGGTACCGCAGGAAGAGAGGCGCGGTGAGCAGCACGGACGCGTCCGCCAGAGCCAGGTTCATCACCAACAAGCAGGTCACCGAGCGCTTCTTCACCTGGCACAACACGGACCAGACCACGAACAGGTTCCCGGGGAAGCCCAGCACAAAGGCCAGAGTCAGGATGGCGATGCCGACCTGAGCTGAGACGCTGAGCGGCGCAGAGGTGGCAGCGGCGGCGGTGACATTGGACGCCATTAGAAATGTCTGTGAGAGTTTGTTTCACAACTGAAATTGACCCTGCAGGAAAGAGACAGGAAACAGGATATGTTGTGCTATGGGTTCTGTAATGTAGATGTGTCAGTGCTGCCAAACGTTGCTCAATATTCACATTCATGTTCAGGTTCAGTTGATCAGGACAAACAGATGCAATCAGACCGGTCGGGGGAGGTCAGAGGTCACGGGCTGCCTCGGTGGAAGGTGGTAGGAACAGGTACTGCATCACAGCACTTTTTTTAATTGTCTTACAGTAACAAAAAAGTTTTCCACGGTCGCAGGAGGAAGAAAGAAATAAGATCGAGAACTCGAGGAAAGTCAGAGAAGCTGAAATAAAATACCCGAGAGAAAGTGCCTCAGTAGCATCAGGTCAAAGGAGCGAATCACCTCCTCCACCTCCTCCACCTCCTCGTTATATTCCACAAATGTACTTTCGTATCAAATCATTCGCTGTCTTTAAATTATTGTTATTTGTATTATTCCTGTTCTGTTTTTGCGTTCTTACTTTTACCACAGTTTAAATAACGTCATCATTATTATCATTTGAATCGAGGACAAAAGTCAATATTTTTTTGTCGATAATAGAAACAAGTCGTTTTATTTTATTTTTAAGTCTCAAAATAAAAAATAAAAAAGATCCTCAAATATTGTTCGCGAGCTGTGTTTAAATATCAAACTGATTTTCGTCACCACACTTCTCAAATCACCTCTCATGTAAATTTTATACAAAATCCGTAAACCTGCTAAAAAGCTCTTTCTTTTAAACAATAACCAGATGTTAGAAAACTGACTGACAGCGACCGACAGAAAATTCAGAAACTGACCTTCGGCAGCAGATGTGTTGGATCAGTCACCCAGCTGTTTCTCAGCGTGTCTGTTGGCCGGGCGTCCTCTCAGGTTTGACTGTGCCGCAGCAGAACACACAATTTCATATATTGAGTAAGAAGTGTCATGTGAGGGGAAACCCAGTGACCACAAGAAGCCAGTTGAGCTTTCAGCTTGTCATGTAGTCGTGTTCATCCTATATATCTCATTTTCTTTAACATAAAGAATTTCCATTTGGACTGTTTACATTTATATTGTAAACATTTAATTTAATTCCTTTTTGTATTTTATGTAAATTTTGGTCGTCCAGAAAGGACAGCACAAGAATTTCAATTCACAGGGAAACGTGTGTTCTCGTTTTTGACAATAAAAAATATTTGAATCTTCATTCTACAACTGCGGAGCGGGGCATCCGTATTCAGCGGTGACGCTGGTATGCACGATACCTTCATGGAAAAGTCAACACGGCATCTGCTCCTGTTTGTGGAGCATCGTGTGCGCTGCAGTCATCTGGAAATCAAACATTATGAAGGTGAACGTGAAGCTTCTCAGAGATGACAGCAGCCGAGCAGCTCCACGACCGATCTGACTTCCAAAGCATGAAAAGAGGAAAGAGAGGAAAGAGCAGATATCGCCAAGAAAAAGTTGTGCAACAGTTTTCAAGGAAGAGAACGAGCAGCTCAAGACTCGGTCACGAGGGGTGAGGAGGGGAATATTCCGGTAAAGAGCCACGGTCTTGTTGAAACATGACCCCTGGCGTCATACCTCTGCTGGTGTACATTGCTCTCGTCTTGAACAGATTTACATCATATTCCTCTTTCCACATTTCAGAGGGACAGAACGTACTCAGTTACAAAAGGTGTGAAGTTTCAGAAGTAGAATTTTATTTAACTCTGTCTTTCCTCTTTTTCATTGTTTGGTCGCATGCTCAGAGGGGAGCAGTAAAACATAAGGGCTTTAAAGCTGGACTACATTTTCAACCTGGCCCAAGTCTGCAGTTTCAATAAGCGCAATGAAACGTTGGAATTGTACAACCCAGCAATCGCGCTCAAACAAAATAGTTTCTGGCAACGTGAGAAAGCTGCTTTTAGCAGAAAAACTCATTCATGCATGTGAAAATGGGTAAAACCTAAGAAATGTGGTAGAATCTCTCAACACACACACATGAGTTTGAATATTGTCGAGATAAAATCAAGTGCCGCCATCAAACCTGATCTCTCAACTTCACACGGCTAAAACTCTCACTGTTTCAAAGTTCTTTTAGGCGTCAGCATAAGTAAAATACTCCACAGAGAAAAGGACACAGTCCAATATTTGCAAAAGAGTCAATAAAAAAAGTTTCAAATTGACTTTACAGTAAACATGCACAGTCACCACACAGCACCACAGGAACCACTTGTCTTTGGACAACACTGTGACTTTAGGGTGTTTCCTGTCAAAGTCTGTGACAGTATCACCTGGAAGTGGATCCACGTAATGAAGCATCTTTATTGTGACTGTCAGGAAGCAGCCGTGCAAGATGAACCCTTGTTGTTGTCCATCTAAAATGTGCTCGTGAGCAGACAGAGGAGAGATTTAAAGGCTTGAGGGGTTAAACTTTTCCCCCTCGGAGCCACACCAGCATCACATCTTCTGCCTCCTGTGTCCGCTACTTGCCATGCTTCCCGGGTTTGGCATTAGAACTCGAGTTGGTGACCGAATCCTGGTCTTTGTCCTTGAGCATGACAGCATCCGCTTCTTTTTCCTTCTCGCGACTGTTGTGGCTGTTCTGTCGGCTCTTCCTGTTCGACAGGTCTATCCCCGTGCCCTCAAACAAGCGGGCCATGAACTCAAACCCCTCCCGACGAATGTAAGACTTTCCTGCGAAGAAGTAGAGGATCGGGTTGATGGAGCTGCTGATGAAGGCTATGGAGGAGGTGACTGCACGGCTTTTGCTCCAGATAGTATGAAGCCTGGTGGGTGGAGGAGTGAACAGAGAGTAAATAGTTTTAACATTGTAGAAAATGCATTTACTTGTTTGTTGTTGTTGCTCTACATTTACGCCTGCCGCTCTCTCTAAGATCAGCAGGAAACATACCGACACTGATCAAGAAAAATAGACAGAAACTCTTTTTGTCTATCGCGCAATCATCCCATTGGGTCTTAAGGACACTTCGACATACAGATTGAAGGAGTCGGAATCAAACTGCCAACCTTCCGATGATGGACAACCCGCTTTACCAGCCACAAGCACCCAAACACACTGTACCTAGTTTATTCATGTGCTCTGGAAAGGAAGTCACAGTTGCTAGCTAAGTTAACTGAAGCACATTTGACCCAACGTAATTCTCTGTTAAAAGTTCAGAGAGTAAGATTTAGTGACATCTAGTGGTGAAGTGTCATGTTGCAGCTGAACACCCCTCCCCTCCCCCTCTCCTTCCAAACATGAAGAAGAACCTGCGGCAGCTTCAGTCGTCATAAAAACTCAAAAGGTTTTAGTTTGTTCAGTCTGGACTGATGTAAACAACATGGCGGCCTCCGTAGAGAGGGTCTCCTCCATGTAAATATAAATATATAAATATAAACTTTGAGGGTAAAGAAAACAACACTTCATACAATTTAAATGAAACACACTCGTGAAAACATCATGAGGATTATTTCATATTCAATTTCTGCCGATAGATCCCTTTCATCAGAATCTTACACACTGGACCTTTAAGCCACGCGTTGTTTTCATCTGACTTTAAAAACACTCATTGATTAACGAGCTTTACAGCTAAGATAAGCTAATCTCCGCACAAACGCTATTGATTAGCGTCTGTTTGACTTTAGAACTTTAATTGTCTGTATGATCACTTACGTTTTTCTTTTTTCAGTGTCTTTCATCAAAGCCCATGCAACCTGGGAGCAACACAAACATGTTTGATTAGTAAACGAGTGTTCAGCTGTTCAAACCTTCATTGATGAGAAAATACACGTAAAGACCGAATGTGCTCAATGTTCTTAATGAGACATGTGTCACGTGGTAAAGCAAGAGGCGTGACGAACCTGCACCATGTTGATGATGTGGTATGGCAGCCACAGCAGGCAGAAGGTCAACACGATGGCCAGGATGAGCTTCTCACTGCGAATCCTACGCTGGAACTTGCTCTGTCGGATCCGACGTAAGATGCAGATGTAGCTGAATAAAATGACCCCATATGGAATAAAGCAGCCCAACACGAGCTCCAGCATGTACTGCATGACTGTCTGTGAAGGGGAGACGAGGTGAGGACAGAGGGACATAGGATTTAACATTAAGACATTCTGCATCATGTGAAATCAAATGCAGGCATCGGACAATCTTCCTATTTCCCAAACAAGAGGCCAAACCATAGACTTCATGCAAGATGGATGACGCAGCTCCACTTCCTTTAACTGTCCAGAAATGAAGCTAAACTATGCCGGCCGGCCACCAGGTGGCGATCGAAACACTCTGGCATCACTTTTGGGGAGCTGTCATGTCGTCCATCTTTATATACATGGAACGATCTGAGGCAAGTCCAGTTGTCTTTGAATCTGCTGTTCTATGTTTCCTGTGACTTTATCGCCCATTTTACTTTAGTGAGTAATTCTGTTTTACCTGGGGCCCTCAAAGTGGAACCCTGAAACGGTTCTGATTGGGCAATGCCAACCACAACCCACCAAATGTATTGGCAATACAGCAACATGGTAAACAACTAAATTTACAGTAGTAATGGGTCGTATGTCTGTTTCTACTATTCAGTCACAGATTTAGGAGACTGGGCCTCCTCAGTGAATAGAAGAGAATATGCTGAGGATCTTCTTCACTCACTTCGCTGTCATATAGATGGTATGAGTCGCACACTTTTTTATTCCCACTCTTCTCCACTCTTCTGTAGATCATCGCAGGAACCGAGGCGACGATCACCAACAGCCACACCACAGCCAGCATCCGCACTGTCGTCCTTCGGCCTGTGATGGCGCTAATGCGCACCGGCCACACGATAGCCACCAGCCTGTAGAGACTCATCAGCATGATGAGGTGGATGGAGGCGTACATGTTGGCCAGACACAGGTAGAAGACGATCTTGCACATCACCTCCGTAAACACCCAGTTCTTCAGAACCAGGTAGATGATGAAGAACGGGGTGAGGGCCATCAGTGAGCCGTCCGCGATAGCCAGGTTGAGGATGAGGAGAGTGGTGATGGACTGCTTCCTAGCACGAGCCAGGATGCTCCAGATGACGAAGACATTTCCGGGGAAGCCCAAGACGAATGTGAGGCTCAGGATGAGGGCGCCCATGGTGGTGCCGGTGCTGCTGTCCAAGATGCTCTTGTCTGTTGTGTTGTTGACTAAGGAGTTGTTCAAGCTGTAGTTTTGGGCCATTTTTGTTCCCTGTCAAAGTGAGAACATTGGTGAATGACTTTGTTTGAAGGTCCATTTACTTCAACTAGAGCAGTGCCCATTGTAAACCTGCCTGTCTGAGTGTTCTGTTGTCTTTGAGGCTCCGCAGCCGCTTCACAATTATTCCTGGTTAGTGAGTCCTGTCGCGTCTGTGCTGCTTGTGTGCAGGGCCTCTGGTAAACAGTCTGTGATGCAGAGTGAAGTCAGGAAACTGTACCTTCATCCTATCTGGTTTGTCTGCAATCATGAAATGGAACTGAATTTGCTTTACTACTGTTCACATGTGAGGCTTATACGTTTGAATGATTGGCCTAAACACATTGAACGTCAGGTATTTCAAATGTCTGCAAATCAAAAAAAGGACATTTCCTGTTATATGGTTGACGAATGATAAAACGTGAACAAAGCAAAGCTCACAGGTTTGTTTTTTTGAAATTCCTAATCAATATGAGTCAGTGTTTCCCTGAAAATGAACGATGGAAACATTTCTTTCAAGACACAGCTCTTGAATCGTGTCGTATTTGGCACAAGCCCAGGTTTGAAAATACAAGTATGTATTTGTGTAGAATATATGTGGGAGTGTGGCGCAAGTTTAACAAGTTTTAACGGTGGTTCTTAATTCCTGAACGACGAGACCAGACACGAGCGGAGAGCAACAGACATGTGTCAGTGTTTGAGCAAAGATTCAGGTTAATGCTCTCACTGTTCCTCTATAAGCCTGACAGATAACATGAATTTATTGCAAAATTCAAACACAAAAATTTGAAATGATTTACACTGGACAAAGATTATTTAGAAATATGATCAAGAGGAAAGAAAGTATAAGATCAGGCAGAGTACGTAAAATATAAATACAGCAAAAATAGACAAGAAACACAGTAAAATATGATCATTTAATTACAGTCGCTCTGCAAACTGAGGTTTTACATAAAAACACATTCTTCTGTGCACTGGATATTACTACTACAATCTGTTTCTTTTATTAGCTCCACTTTGAATAAAATATAACTTACCTGTAAATTAAATTCAGACAATTTCTATGATATAACTCTAACAGAGGCTTACAATTAGAGAGGCTTACAATTAGAGAGGCTTACAACAGTGGATGTTGAAGCAGCGATGCACTCGTTTCTTTAAACTAAATAAATTAGGATCATGTTTTGATGTAGAGTAATAATTGCAAGTGAGTGTAAATCTTTCATATTCGGTATTTTTCCTCTTATTCTGCAAATCCTATAACCACTGATATAAACTAACATTGATCCTGATGAGATGTTTGATATTGTCGCTTCCCTTGTTGCCCTGAAGATCAGTTGTTTACACCTAAAGTAAATATCCATCCACAGTCTAAAATAGTCCCTCGACAAAGGCACTGTTTTCTCCTTCTTGAGTAACGTTTGCTAAAAACAGAGTTCGGATCAGTGTATTAGAAACAATGGCCCCTGTGCGTGAACGGGCTCCTGCTTGGCAACATGTGTTTTAAAACTATTTAATGTTACTGGAAAATGTTTTCAACAGTAACATGTCGTCACTTGCAGAACATATCTTGACTATTGGTACGAGATCACACCCTGAAGACGGCTGACGCTGTCAGAGCTCCTGTTCTTAATCATTCACACCCTCATCAACAAACCTTTTCTATGAGCACGTCGTGCTGCGATTAAGGATTCAAACGTTGTCAGAGTGCGGTCACCAAGGTGACAAACAGAGGCAGGGACCTTCCTCCGTCATGTGTTGTTTAATGTGTTATACTATAGAGATACACACTAAGCACAGTTCTTATAGCAGCAGAACTGCATTTATATCACTAAGTACAAGCAGTAGTGCAAATACTGTTGTACAATAAACAAGAAACTCTTTATACTTCATTTGACTTTTTGGGACTTTGGAAACGTTAGGTGATATTTATGGAAATCAGCAGCTAATAATCTCTAAGAAATAATAAAAGTTATTAGACTGTTTATTTATTCAGGGGTTTTCTTTGCTTTGTTGTTCATTTTTAGTTTCATTCCAAGAACAGACCTCGGTTTTTAGACAACTTAAACTTAAACTCCTAAATAAAAGAATACCGTGGAGTCGGGTTGATTCAGATTTACTTATGGTGAAACTTTTAAACTATAAAAGTTGACCGACATGATTTAATTGGAAATTAAGAAAAACAATTGGTTCAAGAGAATTCAGACATGCACGAGATTTATGCTAGAAATTCAAAACGCTCTCATTTATTTCTGTTTGAGTTTCAAGTACACTGTAGACACACTCCTCTCAAATGAATCACTGCCGAAGAATAGACTGAAGACGTGTAACCGCATGGCCAGTGTGTACAGAGAGCCGGTCCGACCACATTGACAGCGACATCAAACAACGGCATACACTGAAACAGTGACATATTGTGCAACGGCCCAACGGTGACACACTACACCAACAACAAGCAGCTTGTTGACATCGCTGTCATTTTGATTCTTCTCTGTTTTAACTTCTCTGTGGTCGGCAGGGTTCCTCTCCACCTCCACATTTGATTGTGTTTAATCATAATTGGTACACACAGAAGTCCCTGAGACACCAGCGAGCTCATTGCACAACTTCACTGAAAAGGTGTGTGTGTGTGTGTGTGTGTGTGCATTGTGTGACTCATGCACATACCTGCTGAAACACTCCATGTACACAGGAATGGAGCAACGCACAATAAACAATAGTGACACAGGTTAAGTTGACGCGTTGATGAAATCTGAACAAATCGCAGGTGTCAAACGAACCAAACTATAATGTCTCGACGCACAATGACACACAATGACACACAATGACACACAACAGCGGGCTGAAGGAAATAACACTTCAGCAGCAGCAGAGCTCTGATTAACGGCCGTGATTTGCAGCCGTTGTAACCACAGTGTTGTCACTGACACACAAACAAACACACACTCGTGAATGAGACACACACTCACCAGGGCATCAGGCGTAAATCCAAAGACACCAAAAACTGGAGAAGAAGTCAGATTGTATATTCTTTCCCTCCTCTTCTCTCTCCCACACACATTTTCCTCCCAGCCAGTTACTCTCCCTCTTTCTTTCTATCTCTCCCTCCGTGTCTCTCCATTGATGTGTCATGCTTGCTGTAACATGTATTTGCAGTGAATGGGGGGGTGGGAGGCGTGTCGGCGTTCTCTGGCCTGCCTCTGCCCTGCCGGCCTGTCAAGCTTCCTCACGTGTTGAGTGAATGATTCCACCTGTGCAGCGTCCACTTCAACGTTTAGCTCATCCAAAGTACATCTTCTACTTTCCCATAGTTCCACTCGTCCACTGGATTCAGACGCTGAACCCTCAACACACTCAGATCTGACAACAGCCATTGGTTCCAGCTCACCTCAAAGGTATCGGATGGGGTTGAGGTTGCAGGTAAATCACAATCTCGGAGCCCATCGACGATCATCTCAAGACAAGTGAGGCTCTTGGGGGCAATGGCCAATGTTCCAGGGGAGCGGACGGCGGTGTCCGGGTCAACTCTCGCTGTACACGTTCAAGTCCAGTGAGTCCACACCAGTCGGACTTGAACGTTTCTCCACACAAAACACGAACAGAGCTTCTTGTTGGTGTTCAGACGAGGTTTTGGCTCATCTCTATTAGCAGCTATGGATAAATCCTTTCCTGATCCCACTGGACATTCAGGCCTCCTGAAGAGTTACTGAGGTAAAAGTAAACATTAAGCTTAAACACACAAAGTCACCTCGGATCAAACGTCACGTGCTAACAGACTCCTCTGCATGGGGGTGTGATCTGCAGCATTGAGGTTAATTAATAAGTGAAATTAAAAAGCTGATGCATCTCAGTCCGTGTGTTGCGTCTCTTTTTCTCTCCACAGACTGTTTACCTGCAGGCAACCAAAGCTGCTCAAACCTGATTGCTCAAGATGCAGAAACCAGAAGCTCCCTCACGCAGCAGTCCTCGATGCAGCCCCTGCAGTAACTCAATTCTTTTTTAATGATAATTTACTTAACAGGCTCCTTTATGAGATCCAGACACACGGAGCCACACATGGTCCAGGCGGCCTCTGTGTTTCACTAACGAGCAGTAACTGGGTTTCATCTACTGGAGCGGGAGGAACAGGTTGGATCAGTGAGGAGTATATATATATATATATAWWATAWWATATATATATATATATATTTATATACATATTTATATACATATGATGAATATCCTCTTGTAAAACAATCTGTCACTTTGTTAAGAAATGTAGAAATGTAGAAATAAAGTTTATGATGATAATTATTTTTATATGCATCTTATAATTACTTTTTTGAAGTCAGAGAAAGTTACTGTGTGATTGTGATGCATATTTCATCATTATTTTATATTTCTTGCTTCTCTGTTTTTTAAACTTCTTCAGACAAAGATAAAAGTTTTATTATACTTTTATCTACTATTATTAATTATTATTATTATGAAACACATTCGTCAGGGAGGGAGAAGTATTTGCCTAATAAATGGTAAAATAAGGAATAAGACAGGAGATTGTATAAATACACACTAACTGAGGCAGTGACACAAAGGTCATATTTTTGACAAAGTTCATACAGTTTGTTGAAGACTTGTAAACGTCTTGATTGTCGTCAATTGTTACTTTATTCATTCTTACAAGTGCGTACATCAGCTCAGCATTCAGGTTAACACATGAGAAAAGTCTAGGAGCTGATAAATGTGCAGAAAAGGTTCAGAGAGTACATGATGCAGCCCAGAGGTACTGCAGACCTCCCAGGAAAATAACAAGGCCTGTTTGTGTCAAGGAAAATTAAACCCAAGAACAAAAGATTAAAAAAAGGTTTTAAAAAACCCTGTGGAATCAGAAACTGTACAAATCAAGGTTTCGTAGTTGCAACTGGGTCTGACTGTTTCAGTGGCATCTGATTTAACAAAGCATGTTGCTGCTGTAGGGAGCCCCCTGTTAACCAGAGCTTGTAGGTGCAGTTCAAACATACATTCATGAAGCCCTTAGAAGAACAGACGGATTAACTCTTGACTCTGGTACCTCATATTTTATCAATCAAAATATAATATAGAGCAGAAAGGTTAGTCACTGGCTGGTGAACATTTAGCAGCTAAAAAGATTTTCCAGCATAAATGTTGGAAACAAAAAAAACAAGCTGTGAAAATGGAGTAAACGTTATATGTTTCCAGGTTGTTCCACTGCCACCTAGTGGCCAGGAAATCAGTTACTTCAGTTTTAAAAGTTTGCTTCCCTCAATGACAGCATTAGCTGCCTTCTTAGCTGCATCCTGATATGAATCCGCTCCCCTCCCTGCATCATATCCAGCAGCTCCTCCTGCTATTCCTCCTACTACTCCTCCTGCTGCCATCAAGGCTCCAGTAGGGACCCCCAGCACTTTATCTCCATTCACTGCTGAGACGACTCCCTTTGCTAGTTTAAAATAGTTCACTTTATGTAAATCTGAATAGTGGTTCACAGATGAGATATCTACTCCCATCGTCATTGCTGCACCAAATAAAGCTCCTAATATTACTCCTGCTGCAGTTCCTGTGAGAAGCTTGAAAAGCCTGTCAAGCACATTGGTTTTAGCCTGTTGTCTGATCTCTCCCGGTGATTTGTTTCCTGCTGACAGTTGCAGACGCCACTCCTCCATCTTTCTTTGCTCATTCACTTCTTGCAGTATCTCATTGGTGTAGTAGCCCCCATTATTTCCCATCACCATCTTGTCTATTGTGCTCAGAAGCTCTTCTGTCTGGAACTGGTTGTTCCTGTAGCTGTTCTTGTTACTGTTATTCCAGTATCTGTTATCGAAGACGTGACACCGGCCACCGCACTTCTGCACCAGATCGCTCAGATTCTTATTCTGACTGACAAACTCCTGAATTTTCTCCCCTTCCAGAAGCTGGTTACCATGAGTGAAGACGATTACGACATATTTCAGAGCTTCGTCAGAGAAGTTATGAAGTATTTTAGTGACGGTGGCCTGTTCCTGCTCAGTGAATCTTTCTACTTTAAGCACAATGAGAAAAGCATGAAACCCAGGGGCGGACTGTACGATGCACCTCGTTATCTCAGCCTTCATGTCCACCTCAGACTGGTCCGTATCAAAAAAACCAGGAGTGTCGATCAAAGTGATGCTTCTTCCATTTACAGGTCTGGTTTCTTCTTGACATTTAATTGTTCTAGACCTGGAAGAGTAGCTTGTTGCGAACAATTCCTCGACCCCAAACAGACTGTTACCAAGGGTGCTTTTCCCAGATCCAGTTTTTCCCAGCAAGAGGATTCTCAGTGAACCCGTCGCTGGAGGAGAATAGTGACGATGACAGTGAGTAAGAATAACACAAACAAACGTACTCGTATCTGTAACATGGATACAAGGATCATTTAGTTTTATGGAAATAAGAGAAACGATCAAGTCAGATATTTTGAAAACATATTATTCGTCTATAGCACAGTGACTAATTACAAGGTAAGAGTATCAGGGTCACTCAAACACTTTAGAGATTTAGAGAATAAAGTCTTTATATAACAAGAATGTTCGGGAGTGTCTCTGATTACATCTGCGTGACATTCATGGGTTTGGTAAAAACAAGGAGACTGATCCACAAGAAGTGAAACTCAAGCGAACTCGGGTTCTCTTTCTCTTTAAAAACTATTTTCATCTTTATTCTCTTAATATTGAGACTTTTTCTTATTATTATAATAACTTCTATTCTTCTAATATCATAACTTTCTTCCTCATTTAACGACGACATTTCATTAATGTTAGCTTTAGTTACCAGAAAAGAACTGTGGGTGCTGTGAGACATGATTTCTACTCACCTTCATCTGGTTGATGCATATTCTTTATGAATCCGTTGAAGACCTGTGGAAACAAGGAGCGGCGGTTACAGTTCATATCTGACGCTGAGAAGATGCGCTGATGTTTCATAGTGAACATGTGAATTTCACCTGCTGCTTTCACAGAAAAAAATCGAAATCAGGAAAAGACATTTTATGGCACATTGCATCTCTTACCTCACGAGCCTTAGTGTCAGTGGGGTGGATGGCGATTCGAACCAGGAGCGGCGCTGTACCAGCTCGGTTCTGTTTAAAGTCATGGACCTCCTCCAGTAGAACCCTGGCAACCACTCTGTGCGGAAAACCCAAGGCAAGCCCCGCCCCGAGCACAGGGAGAGCCACAGATCCAAACCCTCGGTTCTCGCAGGAAGTTAGGATTTTGTAGATGCCCAGTCTCAGAACCTGCGAAAGGTCAGAATTCAACGATACTTCATGGCGCCATATAGCAAGAGCTGGATTATGGTGAAGAAAGGTGGAAAGCACAAATGAAAACCACTGTTTCACCTGGACTGCAGTTCCCTCTTCGTCATCATCCCAGGGAACCAGGTTGAGGAAGAAGACTGCTTTAGATTGAAGTCCAGTGACACCCTCCACCAGAACCGCATCACCGGCCATAGATTCTTCTCCTTGTTCATTTATAAACAGAGGAATCAAATTAGACTGGGAGCCCCCTATGCTGGACAAAGTGTTGCCAACAGCTGTAGAGAGAGGATCGTATCCAACCATGGGAGACACCAGGGCATCCACCTACGAGGGAAGCAGAAGATGAAGGGATTGTACGTCCTCGTTATCTCTAATTTATATTTATCTAGGTTCTTCGTTCTCTCACAAACTGACAGCTGCAGTATTCACAAGTGAATGACTCTCTTTAACAATTTATAAAGTTTCTAACCTGCTGGGTTTCAATAGTTCCCTGAACAGCCTCAACATGGACATTGTCTCCAGTGGCTCCAGCAGTGGCTTCACTTGCCAAATGTTGGGAAGCTGCATCCATCTGGAACCCTAAATCGTGCTGTGTAGTGTTTCCGGGACTTATCCCTTGTAGAAGTCTGCCGCATGCTTTCTGCATGGCCCTCACCACCTCTGCTCTGTTATCTATCAGGATCACTGTGCTCAGACTTCGTCCGCCCTGAGTGCAAAACTGTTTCACAGCGGACACAATAGCCTCAGAGCACCCGTTCACCAACACACCTAACAGACCCGGGCTGATACAGGGCATGGCTATAGACTTGAGCTCCATCCTTTCTGCCACATTCAGAGTGAACTGGACAGTTTTTTCCAGCAAGGACGTTTCTCTGCTACCCGCAAAGTGTAAGTCCCCCGCTGTGGCCACCATCACGTCACCTGTAGGAACTTTCCAGGCCTGTTTCACTAAGACGACTCTCTCCCTTTTTACTTCAGGACCGCCTGTTTCACCCGCTGCAGCGTCAACATCACCAGGGTTCTGCAGATCTTCATGGGCAGCATCAACCAGGGCATCAGCATTCTGTTCGCTAAGGTCACCCTGACACACCACCACCTGGAGGCCGTCACAGAGGCCAGAGCTAGCACTTGTTTGGTTTCCTACTCTCAAATTCAAAACCGCCATCAGGTCAGTGGTGTCCTGGACAAGGGAGTCGAGAAATGGACCCAACAGGTTCCTGATCTCAGTCACTTTGCTGGATGGACCTTCCATAACCAACATGCACCCAGAGGAAAGAGTCAGAGGATGGAAGGTAACGTCTGAAAGGTCAAAACCATGCAGCGTCAGAAATTCCTGTAACTCTTGTGCTAACTCTGGGAAAGGGAGATTTATTGCGTTTTGCAAAATAAACTCTTTGACAGTTTCATTCAGCTCTTCAAACTCTCGGGTGTGGCCCAGTAAGCACACTCTGCTGTCTGAGCAACACACTGCCTGAACCCTACACTGCCCTCGGTTCATCTCATTTGTCTTGGACTTGAGCTTTTCCCACAGCTCAGATGAAGCAGCAGTGTTAATAGGTAAGTCAATTTCGATTTCCTTGAACTTTTTTTGCATTTCATTTACTGGGTCGTCCAGTTTATCAGGAGAGAGGGAGAAGAAACGAAGCTCTGTGTCTCGTAACTCTATTTCCACCTCGTCACCAGCCCCTAGAAAGTCCCGCAGCTCCCCTGGACCTCCATAAGCCTTCCTCACGAAGGCCAAAAGACGTGGGCTCATGTTAGGAACTCTCCTTTCTAACACCAGATTCTGTTTATCAGAGATCCAATCTCCAGCCTCCAGAATATCCTCCACAGACCCTTCTAAAACCACCTGACCTGCATCTCCCCGTGTGACCTTAACTCCTGGAAAACTTCGTCCCAAACCGTCCTCAATCTCTCTCCAGAGGAGGCGGAGTTTGGCCTCACTGAATCGACGAGTGCTGGTTTGCTTCTCACTCAATCGGGACCTTCTACATTTAACAGTAGAGTCTTCTACATCCTTCAACCTGGAATTGACCTGTGAACGTTTACCAACCACAACAGCCATCCCGATTTCACCGAACACCCTCACATCACCTGTGGTGTGACCAGAGCTGCAGGACTGAAGCAAAGCTTTGACTTTGAGAGGCTCAAACTCAAAGTGGCAGTGGTAGCCATCTAAGAGTTTGTCTACCTCAGCTCTCAAACTTCTACTTTCTGCTCCAGCAGCAGGTTGAGCTGATCTCCTCACTAAAACTCTGCCCTCTTCTGGGAACAGCTGAGCAGTGCAGTCCATAGAGGCAAGTTCCGCCTCCAGCTCTGCCCCTGCCTTTGGACATTCCTTCAGAAATTGAAGGAGGTAGGTATCAGGTCGTAGTTCACATTCTTCACCACCTGGTGGCGGAGTGGAGGCAGGAATAGACTGTAGACTCTGTTAAAAGAAAAATTGTATTAAAACCATCATCATAATTTGTGGTCTGCAGGAGAAAAAGACCTTGAAATACACATTAGATGACAAACGTCTTTTTGTACTGACCTCCCCTGGAGATGTTGAGTCGTGGCTCGGGGTGGAGGATGCGATGGGAGGAGAGGCGTCAGATTCCGGGCTGTCTCGTACACTGAGCACCAGAGTCTCACCTGCACACTCCACCACATGCTCAGACCTCTGCAGGACACGTTGCTGAACTGAGAAGGGAAAAAATATAAATACCAGAATTATTGCTCATCTTTTTTGGCAACACAAGCGAGGGCGAGGTAATTCAAGAAAGGTGGAAGACATGAGGGCATGAAACAGGACAACAACAGGAAGTAAGAGAAGTAAACAGTGAGAGAAGTTTCAGGAACGAACTATCAGATGAATCAAAAGTACAGAGATGTTTAACTTCGTCATTCTTCTTTCACATTTTTATTTCTCCTGCGTAGAAGTCGAAGAACTCAGCACAGACTTTGTTTGTCCCACAAACGAAAGTGAAAGTGTTTTTCTGTTTTTGAACGTTCCCTTCACACAAAGTTCCCAGAAACCAAGGGACACTGAAAATGAAAAACTTCGGTTCTAAACTTTCATGACACTTGAATAAATTAGAATCGTGTCGTTTTTACGCACGTGTGTTTATTGTGCGCACATTACAAGAGACTCCACAGGTAACACAACACCGAACGTGAGTTAATCAGTAATGTGCGTGAGCGGGGACCGACCTTTCAGGCTCCTGAAGGCAACACTGAACACGTTATCCCGCACACTGGTCAGCGGCCCGCAGTCTCCTCCGCCTGATCTGCCGCGCAGGGAGAAGTGTTTCTCGATCCCCCTCCTCTGCTCCCGAGGCACCGGACTCTGGCACTCGAAGAAAACCGGATACTGGTAAACATCCTCCATCGTCCTCCTGAGGGGAGACGTGTCGTGCGTCCCAGCTTTTCACCCTGGAGCAGCGCAACACTTGGACTCTGTGGCTGTCGGGCTGTCTGCGCTATCCTGCGGATATCTTCCACTAGGACGACAGAAGGGAGGTCCACATGTCTCCATGGATACCACAGCTGGACAGAAGGACATGTTTACCCCGTAAGAGATGGTGACTCACTGAAATATAACCTCCATGTAATAAGCTTTATTTGTCAGGCACTTTTCTAGAAAAGGTTTCGAGAAACTTCACAAGAGGAGAAAACTATAAAATGAAGAATGAAAATAAAACTAATTCAAATTCACCCAGAGAAGAACGATCTTTGTCTTTTAAGAGAATATTTTCAGATGGGACACAGTACAATTAAATATTGACCTTACCTGTGCTGTGAGTTTACAGGTGCGTTCTCTACGACACTCCTTTGCTTTCTTTTACTTTGATTGTTCTGTGCCTCAAGGAAAATTCCCCAGAGACAGAACCACACCTGAACTATTGTCTTATCACACCAGCCAATCAACACAAAGTGTTTAGTTGTTTAATATTTCATCAAATTCCAACCTTTCACATGGTTTAACTCGGATACATTTGACTGTCATGAACAAAAGATAATAAGAAAGATATAGAACAGCAGATTCTGCTCGGTGGTGTTTGGCACAAGAAGCTTCCACAACAGTGCCTGTGTGTATTTCTGTCTGATAAAGACAATGAACACATTTCACACTTCTCTGTTCTCCAGTGATTCTGACTTCATCCTCCTGTGTCACACCATAATTCAGATCTCCCACCTTGCACACTGAACAAGAGTTACATTAGAGGGTCAAACCTATCATTGCAGATATCTGGAAAAATACAAACATGCACTGTGCACACGTACGTTCACACATATTTGGTAAGTGAGCTTTTGACTTATTGGGATTTCCTCGTTTCAGCAGAATTAGGCAGCGAATGGTTAGAGTCCACATCAGTCATCAGTGAGTGTGTGTGAGTGAGAGTTCCTCATTTCTTCCTCTCAGGTGCTGAGAAACACGAGTCTGCCGGTGTAGACCAGGTCAGCGAGGTAGAGCAGGAAGTTGAGGGCCGTGAGCACAGCCACCGCGATCAGGTTTGACGTCTCGCTGCCCCTGGCCTTATACTTTTCGTCAAACTGGAACACGGGCCAGATGATGGTGGCGGTCAAGTACATGATAACTGCCAAGAGCCCGTACGCTGACAGGAACTTGGAGAACGGGATGGGGAGCCAGCCGGTGCACTCGCCCACACACAGCACCACCACAGCCATGGAGAGAATGAAGCAGATGCAGTACACGGCCATGCACCACTTGAGCGCCGGTAAGCGGTCATACGACACATGTTCGCTGACGAGAATGAAGATAATACAGGCCACGAAGGTCTGGAACACCTTCAGCAAGCCAGGAGCCGTAGCCATGTAGCCCGCCACCTCTCCCGGCCTCGCTTTAGTTAAGCTCACCTCCCCCATGTAGGCCACCGCTGCCAGGCAGGAGAAGACGGTTGAGACGATGCGATGGTCACGGGCCTCGCTGTTCATCTGCTGGCCCTTGAGGAAAAAGAGTGGGAAGATGACTGAGGCTGAGATGCAAAGGAGGGCGGCGTAGCAGGCTATAGTGATGGGGAAGTTGGACCAGGACACCGGGATTCTCGCCTGGAGGCCAAACTGCTGCACCAGCAGCACCAGCAGGGTGCACGCGAAGCTGAACGCCCAGCAGAAGATGCACCAGTCATACATGTGTGTGTGTCCGTACGTCACCATGGCGCCGTGCGCCGCGACACTGAACGCCACGCAGGTGAACAACAGGGCAGCCACGCGGACCCATAGCAGCTGGGAGGTGGGAAAGACGATAAGTGGCATGTTGGGTTATCTGAGGCTTCTGTCGTCCAGCGAGGGTCAGAGATGAACGTGAGATCCTGTGGCGGCTGCTCGTCACTTAACCTGCTGATGTTTGTCACAAATTCTGCAAAAAAAAAAAAAGGTGTGAAACTGAAACATCATGGCTGCAGATTTGAATATTCTGACTTGTATTTTACTGCCTGACATGTTTAGACATTTAGACTCACACTAAAGTTGTGTCAGTGTGATGGATCGTGTAGGTTCAAACTGTGACCTGTGCAGTGGGGGTGTTCAGGATGTTCTGTACAAACACACAATGAATTTCTTTTTCAAAAGAATCACTCAGCTCGGTTGCCACACTTCCTGTTTTGTGTAATGATGCTAACGCAGGAAGCAGCTCTGAGGAGCTAATGGGGTCTGCAGGAACCGACGCTAACAACATGAAGCCAAATGAGCACTTCATCACAAAGTGGGATACACAGCCATGTTCAGCTGAGACCCCCCCCCCCCCCCCTGCCAGCTTTCATCCTTTATCTTTACGTTTCTGCTGGAATCTGTTGGTTCAAACATGTTGATCGTGTGTTTCTCAGCTGTTAATGTTTGAGCAGAGTGAAAAGCTCCAACCTGCTGTGGCATGTGGAGAAAGATATTAATGTGATAATCAGTGGCGGATCTAGGAACTGTCAAATCAGGGGCTCTAAAGGGGCCAATTGTCCAACACCCACACACAACTCCTGATTCAGAAAGGTGCACATCTAAGTGATTCCTCGTTGAGCGCAGCCACACATTTTTAAAAAGGTGTTTTTGTTCAAGCACATTGTGAAAAAATAGCAAATGTTAACAAATTGTCCTATTTATTTACAGGATCCGGACTCTGCGGACTTTGTATTTCACACATGAACGACACGGCAGGAGATTCTCCGTTCAGACGTGTTCAAAGCAATACGACAGAAATCTCTGTAGCGTTCTGTAGAGGACGGATGTCCTCTGTTAATTCTGCTGCACTTCATTTCGTTTACACACACATCTCTTGAGAAAGTCCGGAGCCTTTGCCTCGAACATTTGTTTCTCACGTACAGACACAGATGTTCTGGAGTTCAGTGAACGTCTGAAAGCAGCTTTGGAGACTAGTTTATTAAAAGAAAAATATTAATAAGTGCCCCCCTGTATCCGCCCCTGTATCCGCCCCTGCTGATGACAGGAAACCTGTCTTTTTTCCCCTTTAATAGTTTGAACGATTCATACCATGCATACACAACAGTTGGTTTATAACATATATAAATATATAAAGAAACCTGAGTACTCCTGTATAAAGCTCCGTTTACCATGAGGTGAGGACATATCAACAGGACAGACAGACAGATTCTTAAAATCCTTCTCTTCCTCTTTAACCTGACTCTCGTCTGCTCACATCATGGAGGCAGATGAGGCGCAGGGAGCTTTAAGTAGATGTTGAGTGAAACTAACTCAGTAAACCTGATGCAGTGCGTGATACAGAGGTTTTCTTTCCGCTCCAAATAGCGGACGTACCGCGCCCCAGCCGCTGTGCCATCGTAATCAGCCTCACTCCAAAAATACACCCCGAGCTGCGTCCTTCCACACAAAGTCCCAGAGACAGAAACACTCCGGTCTGGAGGTCGCTCTTACCGTTGTGATCTTGGTGGTGTTATATTTCCTTCAGCGGGGTTTTAAGTCAGTTTAAAGTTCCTGGATGTCTGTGCCACTCGGCGGCGCATCATCCAGCGACACCTCCCAGCAGCGGAGAGCCCCACGCCCCGCACTGCGCCTTATTTGGTAAAGAGCAGGAACCTTCTCAGCTCAGACAAGGGTTTCATGTTGCCTTCAGAGAGAAACATGGCTCAGAGGCATTTACTCTCCTGCACACGTGCTGCTGTTACAGATGTGCAGGAGTCTGATGTGGCTGCGGATTGATTCTGAGTAAAAACTGACCTTTAACTGGCCCCAAACTATTATTAACCTTTAAAGCAATGTTACATGTTGCACATATTTTTATATATATATCTGTGTAGATTCTTATTGTTCTTTTTAATCCAGCACTTGTTTCTTTACTTTATCTTTCTCCATATTGTTCACTTAACATGCACCACACAACGAACCTGCATGGTTCTAAATCATATNTATACACTGACACTAGTGTAGAGTACTATTGACACTTCACAAGTGTTGGCCAGTGTTAATTTTGAACTCCCTATAGTGTTGAAATAACTATAGCTGAGTGTAAAAACATTAACACTAGTGTTAGTGTTAAATTAACACTGAAAAGAGTGGACGCATATACACACTTTCTTGGTGTTAAATTTAACACTCTCAGAGTTGATTTAACACTGGCTTTTTTGCTGTGTAGTGAGAGAATCTGCAGCTGAAACATTTGAGAAGAATCAATATATATGTTTTTATTCTGTTCATGTCACTTGAGTTTTTCAGAATCAAATCAGAAACATTCGATATAAAAGCAGAAATCCGTTAAATTAAATCATTATGTGTGTATTTGTATTATTATAATAATATTCATCTGCACATTCATTTCCATCACAACACAATTAGTCACATACAGAATAAACTCCATCATTTAGTTGAGTCAGTGAACAAACTCATCAGAAGCACATTTTGAATAAATCAAACAAACTGAATTCAAAGAAAACTGATTTTTAATTTTTATTCTTTTGATTCTTTAAACTTTATTGTCAACATCTGTGGAATTTACCTTTGGCTCTTCTCAAACAGCAAAAGTACATCCACATTTAAAAACATAGAAAATATACAACATAAAGTACAAGAAGTATAAAAACGTTAACATTAGAAAAACTTAACTTATCCCACTTCAGAGAAATTCACTTGTTTCAGCAGCAGAAAGTCAGAATGAAGAAACCGAGAGAATAAAATAGAACAGGTAGATGATTTATCAGCAAGTTAAAGCAATAACTTATAAATATATAATATATATATAAATAAGTCGATGACTCCTTTTAAAATCCTGCAACATGTTGTCCGGTGATGTGAATGGAAACACTGAGCTTTTGTTTTGTGAGTGAATGAAGGTTTGATGATGAGACACTGAGCCAGAGAGGATGAATCATTGTCCCCTGATGACACGAGCATCGTTCTGTTTGTGAGGAGAACAAAAGAAGCAAATAACGTCCAGCGCCAAAATATTTATGGATCAACTCCAGAGAGAGATTAAAAACACCTCCGTCAAACTGGATCAACCCTGCAGCGTTTAAGTAACTCGTCCTCTGTGTGTGTGTGTGTGTGTGTGTGTGTGTGTGTTGGGGGGGGGGCACTGACATCTGCCCTGTTTTTTGGGGACGAGCAGAAAAGACAGAAGCCGTCAGAGTGACAGGTGAAGTTAACCAATGACTGACCAGCTGCTACACGTCCCACATGTAAATGACTTTAATGAGTTGATTCAGTGAAATGATAATGAAATAAACCAACAGTTTAATCAGCAGAGTGTTCGTCTCTGTCGCCCCCTGGTGTCTGGCCGCAGTATTGACCCCTCCTCCTCCATGTTAGCAGATGGGACATGGACCAAACTAAAAAAAAAATCAAAGTAGACGTTAAATTAATGTTTGTAAAGATGTTTCTGTTGTTTCAGCTCGTTCTCATCTCTGATGTTTCTGATCAGTTCGGTTTAATTAGTTATTGATGATATAAAAACAGAGACGTCATGATTGACAGCTGCGATAGTGTGTATGGGCGGGGCCTTGACGCGACCCCACTCCATGATCACTGCTTAACACACTCGGAATGCCAACTACGCCATCACCACCGGATGGCAGCGGTCGTATCGGGGAGTCGTCCATCTTTACATCCGGTCACTCATCGTCTGTGAGTCGTTGATCACAGACGACCTGTGGACTCGTCTCTTTAACAACTCGTCCTCTGTTCAACACGTTCACGGTGAATGAGCCGCTCGTCACATCTCGCTCCGCCGCAGGTCACACACAGGTCTCCATGGCTCTAACACTCGTGTCCATAAAGTCATGGGACGATGACATGTGACAGAGACATGATGAAGACACGTTAACCCCTCACACGTCTCATTTTTGATCCACTTCACAGCGTTATCTGTGCTGGTGTGATTCAATCGATTGATAAGAACCTTCAATTGGACAAAGATCTAAAACAAGTTCCTTCACATTCTGAGGATGAGAAACAAATCTGTGACTTTAAATCCGACCTGGTTAATGTCCTCTGTGTCGTGTTCACTCTCACTCACTGCTGTGGTCTGTCTCCACTCACTGCTGTGGTCTGTCTCCACTCACTGCTGTGGTCTGTCTCCAC